TCTACATTCTGACTATTTAAGAGAAAATGAAAGTGACATACGTTTGGGTTGCATTTTTTTGGGGGGGGGGCACACTATATGGCGAACATCTACATGTAGGCCGACTTGACCAACATTTACATAGTCACTGGCTGTATCCAAAAGACGTGGCTGATGTGACTATCAGAGACACACAAATTTATGGCAAGTGGAGGAGCCTTGTTATTACTGGCCATGCAGACATGCACCTCTGGCCAAATCATTCATACATGTACGAGGCTTTTCTTTAGCTACGCTGAGGTTTTATGCTTGAAAGCTGTCTTTTTGTGATCAGTGACATGCTGTAGGTTTGGCTGGATTTCTTGCATGTTTTCTTATCACAGATATGTACATGTATGTGCATGTACATGTACGAGCATAATTGAGGTACATGTAATAGGTAATGGTGTATGGTACACAGCTACAAACTCTGATTTCCCCCCCCCCCACATATGTGCAGGGTTGAGTAGAATTGTTTATTTTAGCCAAGTGAAAGGTGGCTCGGTTTACAAAGGTCAGGCAAACATCTAAATTCAGAGTTTTGTTGTTTGCTTTTCAAATGATACATGTGGGAACATGTACAAATATTATAATTGTGCAGTAAACAGAGGTGGCCTATTTTGTCATTTTTTTGCTTGGGCGTAACGACTGACAATGCATACCGTACATGCGCCATTGCACAAACTGATAGGCAAAGACTTATCTGATTTAATGTACATCCACTTACATGTACATGTAGGTAAGTGATGCAGAGTTAGAGAAAAATCAGCTAAATGAATGCAATGATGCTTGTATAATGAAGACTGAAGAGCTGCAGGAGGAAGCTACAGTATGTCTTACTGCTCACTGCTACGCTTCGCAATCCAAACATTTAACTGGTACTAAAATGATCCTAGCTAAAACACTGGTTGCGGTAAAACATGGTTGCCCCTGGGCAACTGCTTTTATGAAAAGTGGTTGCCTGGGGTTTCAGCTTGGTAGCCCGAATATAACCTTGCTCATGAGTGTCGTTTTGCAGTAAACATTGAAATAGTGTCCAACCACAAAATACTCTACCGCACTCAAATAGCAAAGATTTGACATCATGTCTGGTTGACACAGGGTAAACTGCACTAAAAATTATGCTTATTATACATCAAGGCTTGAAATTGGGCTAACCATCACAAGAGCAAGTACTTGCTACCTAGACAGCTGAATTTGTCAGTTTACAGGAGCATGTACATGTGTATGCCATATAAGTTCAAGAAAATTAAACAATTTAAGGCCAAACAAAATAGTTGTGCTTCCTATTACTATGATTACAATCCACATTGAAAAAAATAGGTTGCGTAGGTCTTCCTCTAAAGGTTTTGGGTCAAAATTTTAGGGTAGGGAATTTTTATTTAAAAAGTGATTTTAATGGTTCATGTATACAGTGTTTTTCATCCACTGTTTTTTTTCTGTGGATTTGTAACTTGAGGATCAGTCTTGTCAAAGAATGTATCCAGGTCAGAGTCTCTTTAGACAATTATACATTTATGTTGCACTGGCATTTTGATAAGTTAATGTCCAAAATTTGTTCGAAGCTCGTACGAAATGATGCACAAAGAGCACTTACAACCGCATGATGACACCTGACACATTAACTGTGCAGCCACGTGTGTGAGCCTGCTGCGCTGGCGCTCGGTGACTTCGTAAAAAAAATTTGTGCTTACATCGTAGTTCCATGACAAGGGTGATCTGAAGTAAAGTAGTTCATGTATTTTGTATGGCAAGAGGAGAAACAAGCGTGTCTTAGTACATGTACTTGCACCTTTCTTTATAATTTAGGGGCGCATTTACAAGACAAACGGGAGCTTTATATCAACCTACACCGTAATTTGTGGATGAATATGTCTGCATCATCAAGAACGGGTGGCATTCTTCGAGTGATTTCTCAATTTTTTAGAACACACAAATAAAACTTTCCCAGTGCCCCACGCTGTGTAGAAATCAAATCGTTGTACATGTACATGTACTTCCTCAAAAATTCTCGATACGCGTGGGTTAGTCTAGTTCTCAGACCTGAGGAATTAATGGCAAATCTGCAGGCTAGGTCAGGGAACCGGACTACAAGTACATGTACATGTATGTACCGGTACATGTACACATACTGTGTACACTTTGTATTCATGACTCGCACATCGACCCATTGCAAACTCAGGCAAAACCTTGGTGAAATTCCTGAGTTGGATCAAGGAATTCATTGCTTGTATTTCTCTTAAAACTGTTTTTATCAATTGAAAATACAAAATAACAATGAGTGGAGAAAAATCAGTACTGTACTTATGCCAGGTTCTGGTTGTCCACAGACAACCATTTGTGGAAATTCTTGTTGTCCAGAAATGTGTTTTGGTTGTCCTGGGCACCTGGGTAACCGATTTAGCGAGGATTGGTGTTTTGATTTTTTTAAGTGAACAGTATTGAACTAATTCACAGTGATGAAATGAGGGGAGTCGTGATTCATATCTGGAATACTGATGACCGTACCCATCCTCCATCTTGATCAGAGTTGGATTATTAAAGTCTCAAATGTCAGCATTTTTAATGGGCATAAACACCTTATAATTTGTCCTACCCACATCATAACCAACGTAAACTAATATTAAATAATTACCGCCATAATTGGTGAATAGATTGTAAGTGGTAACAAATGACAACGTTTTTAGACTTTAAAAATGTGATAACCGGGATAATGAAAGATGTTAGTGGAAGACAGTTAAGCAACAGTACTCAGTCTGGTCTTCATATACAAAGGTGTAATACTGAGCAGTATAGATGATCTGCAATTCCTTCTTTGTCGAGAATTTGACCATAAAATCTTTCGGGCTTTTTTGGAATTTACTTTAATTGTATCTACATGTACATGTATAATTTTTAGCTGTAAGTGTAATTGTAAATTTGAATGCCTTGAGTCTTAGGACCATTTTATTCAAATGTTTATGTGAATAAATAAACCAATAATAATAAAAGCCAATAATTAAAATAAATGTTTCACAAATTATCAGGTCCTGTAATCAGCAGTTGTGAACATCATTCGATTCTGTCA